ATTAAATGGTAAAGAATTGTAAAGATTATATGGTTAAGAATTGTAAACGTTAAATGGTAAAGAATTGTAAAGATTATATGGTTAAGAATTGTAAACATTAAATGGTAAAGAATTGTAAAGATTATATGGTTAAGAATTGTAAACGTTAAATGGTAAAGAATTGTAAAGATTATATGGTTAAGAATTGTAAACGTTAAATGGTAAAGAATTGTAAAAAGATTATATGGTTAAATGAAACAATTGTAAAAGATTAAATGGTAAAGAATTGTAAAGATTATATGGTTAAGAATTGTAAACGTTAAATGGTAAAGAATTGTAAAGATTATATGGTTAAGAATTGTAAACGTTAAATGGTAAAGAATTGTAAAGATTATATGGTTAAGAATTGTAAACATTAAATGGGAGAAAGATTGTAAAGAATTGTAAAAGATTAAAATATATGGTTAAGAATTGGCAAACATTAAATGGCAAAAGAATTGTAAAAGATTATATGGTTAAGAATTGTAAACATTAAATGGTAAAGAATTGTAAAAGATTAAAATATGGTTAAAAAGAATTGAATTATAAACGTTAAATGGTAAAGAATTGTAAAAGATTATATGGTTAAGAATTGTAAACGTTAAATGGCAAAAAGAATTGTAAAGATTATATGGTTAAGAATTATAAACATTAAATGGTAAAAATTGTAAAATGCTAAATGGTTAAGAATAAAAACGTTAAATGGTAAAAAGAATTGTAAAGATTATATGGTTAAAATTGTAAACATTAAATGGTAAAGAATTGTAAAAATTTATATGGTTAAGAATTGTAAACGTTAAATGGTAAAAATTGAAAGATTGTAAAAATTATGGTAAAAGAATTGTAAAGGTTAATGAATTGTAAAACGTTAAATGGTAAATTATATGAATTGTAAAGATTATTAAAATTGTAAACGTTAAATGGCAAAAAATTAATGGTTAAAAATTGTAAACATTAAATGGTAAAGAATTGTAAAAGATTATATGGTTAAACATTAAATGGTAAAAATTAAGAATTATATGGTTAAAAATTAAACGTTAAATGGTAAAGAATTAAAGATTATATGGTTAAGAATTGTAAACGTTAAATGGTTAAAAGATTAATGGTTAAATTGTAAAAAAATATTAAAATTATGGTTAAAGAATTGTAAACGTTAAATGGTAAAATATGGTTAATTGTAAAGATTAAATGGTTAAGAATTGTAAAGATTAAACATTAAATTTATAAACGTTAAATGGTAAAAAAATTATATGGTTAAGAATTGTAAACATTAAATGGTAAAAGAATTGTAAAGATTATATGGTTAAGAATTGTAAACGTTAAATGGTAAAGAATTGTAAAGATTATATGGTTAAGAATTGTAAACGTTAAATGGTAAAGAATTATATGGTTAAAATTATAAACGTTAAATGGTAAGAATTGAAAGATTATATGGTAAACATTAAATGGTTATATGGTTAAGAATTGTAAAAAGAATTAAGAATTAAAAACATTAATGGAATTATATGGTTAAGAATTGTAAACGTTAAATGGTAAAAGAATTGTAAAGATTATATGGTTAAGAATTGTAAACATTAAATGGTAAAAAATTGTAAAATATGGTTAAGAATTGTAAACGTTAAATGGTAAAGGTAAAAGAATTGAAAATTGTATATATGTTTAAGAATTGTAAACGTTCAATTAAATGGTTGTAAAGAATTATGGTTAAAATTGATTATAAATGGTTATTGAAAGATTATATGTTAAGAAACGTTAAATGGCAAAATTGAAAGATTATATGGTTAGGAATTGTAAACGAAATTAAGAATAAATGGTTAAAATTGAATTAATTATGTAAACATTAAATGGTAAATGGTAAAGAATTGTAAAGATTATATGGTTAAAATTGTAAACATTAAATGGTAAAGAATTGTAAAAGATTATATGGTTAAGAATTGTAAACGTTAAATGGTAAAAAATTGTAAAGAATGGTTAAAATTGAAACGTTAAATGGTAAAAGAATTGTAAAAAAGATTATATAGTTAAAATTGTAAACGTTAAATGGTAAAAAAACTGTAAAAAATGGTAAAAGATTATATGGTTAAGAATTGTAAACGTTAAATGGCATATGGTTAAGAATTGTAAAAAGAAAGAATTATATGGTTAAGAATTGTAAACATTAAATGGTAAAAGAATTAAATGGTAAAATTGAAAAGATTATATGGTTAAGAATTGTAAACGTTAAATGGCAAAAGAATTGTAAAGATTATATAGTTAAGAATTGTAAACATTAAATGGTAAAAGAATTGTTTATATGGTTAAAATTGTAAAACGTTAAATGGTAAAGAATTGGTTATATGGTTAGAATTGTAAACGTTAAATGGTAAAGAATTGTAAACGATTATATGGTTAAGAATTATAAACGTTAAATGGTAAAGAATTGTAAAAGATTATATGGTTAAGAATTGTAAACGTTAAATGGTAAAAGAATTGTAAAAATTATATGGTTAAGAATTAAAAACATTAAATGGTAAAGAATGTAAAGATTATATGGTTAAATTGAAACGTTAAATGGTAAAGATTATTATATGGTTAAGAATTGTAAACATTAAATGGTAAAGAATTGTAAAGATTATATGGTTAAGAATTGTAAACATTAAATGGTAAAAATTGTAAAGATTATATGGTTAAGAATTGTAAAAAATGGCAAAAGAATTAAATATATGGTTAAGAATTGTTAAAAAAGATTATATATGGTTAAGAATTGTAAACGTTAAATGGTAAAGAATTAAAGATTATATGGTTAGAATAAAACATTAAATGGTAAAGAATTGTAAAGATTATATAAATTGTAAACATTAAATGGTAAAGAATTGTAAAGATTATATGGTTAAGAATTGTAAACATTAAATGGCAAAGAATTGTAAAGATTATATGGTTAAGAATTGTAAACGTTAAATGGCAAAGAATTGTAAAGATTATATGGTTAGGAATTGTAAACATTAAATGGTAAAGAATTGTAAAGATTATATGGTTAAAAATTGTAAACGTTAAATGGCAAAGAATTGTAAAGATTATATGGTTAAGAATTGTAAACATTAAATGGTAAAGAATTGTAAAGATTATATGGTTAAGAATTGTAAACGTTAAATGGTAAAAATTGAATTATAAAGATTAAATGGCAAAGAATGGTTAAGAATTGTAAACATTAAATGGTAAAGAATTGTAAAGATTATATGGTTAAAATTGTAAACGTTAAATGGTAAAGAATTGTAAAGATTATAAATGGTTAAGAATTGTAATTACGTTAAAATGGGTAAAGAATTGTAAAAGATTATATGGTTAAGAATTGTAAACATTAAATGGTAAAAAGAATTGTAAAGATTATATGGTTAAGATTATAAACGTTAAATGGTAAAAATTGTAAAGATTATATGGTTAAGAATTGTAAACGTTAAATGGTAAAAGAATTGTAAAGATTATATGGTTAAGAATTGTAAACGTTAAATGGTAAAGAATTGTAAAGATTATATGGTTAAAATTGTAAACGTTAAATGGTAAAGAATTGTAAAAAATTAATTGGTAAAAGAATTGTAAAAGATTATATGGTTAAGAATTGTAAACGTTAAATGGCAAAGAAAAGATTATATGTTAAAGATTAAATGGTTAAAAGAATTGTAAACATTAAATGGTAAATGGTAAAATTGTAAAGATTATATGGTTAAGAATTGTAAACGTTAAATGGCAAAGAATTGTAAAGATTATATAGTTAAGAATTGTAAAACATTAAATGGTAAAGAATTGTAAAGATTATATGGTTAAGAATTGTAAACGTTAAATGGTAAAGAAAAGATTATATGTTAAATTTTATATGGTTAATGGTTAATTGTAAACGTTAAATGGTAAAAGAATTGTAAAAGATTATATGATTATATTAAATGGTAAAGAATTGTAAAAAGATTAATGTTAAATGGTTAAATGAAAGAATTGTAAAGATTATATGGTTAAGAATTGTAAACGTTAAATGGTAAAGAATTCTAAAAGATTATATGGTTAAAATTGTAAACGTTAAATGTAAAACAAAGATTAAATGGTAAAAACGTTAAATGGTAAAAGATTATATGGTTAAGAATTGTAAACATTAAATGGTAAAGAATTAAAAGATTATATGGTTAAGAATTGTAAACATTAAATGGTAAAGAATTGTAAAGATTATATGGTTAAGAATTGTTAAATGGCAAAGAATTAAAGATTATATAGTTAAGAATTGTAAACATTAAATGGTAAAAGAATTGTAAAGATTATATGGTTAAAATTGTAAACGTTAAATGGTAAAGAATTGTTTATATGGTTAGAAACGTTAAATGGTAAAAGTTAAAGATTACATGGTTAAATTGTAAACGTTAAATGGCAAAAGAATTGTAAAGATTATATGGTTAAGAATTGTAAACGTTAAATGGTAAAGAATTGTAAAAGTAAAAGAATTAAACGTTAAATGGTAAAGAATTGTAAAGATTATATGGTTAGGAATTGTAAACATTAAATGGTAAAGAATTGTAAAGATTATATATTAAGTAATTGTAAACATTAAATGGTAAAGAATTGTAAAGATTTTAAGAATAATTATTTTTCTTTTCTTGCGAGTGAATATTGCGTTAACTATTTATTTGAGAATAATAAATCATTTTCCAGATGCAAATACTACTATTTAACCCATATGAGGGGGGAATAGGATTGATTGATTGATCTATTTTCTACGGCTCATCAACCCTTTGCAAGTTATTTGAAGCCAGAAAATATTTTTAGATTGTAAGAATTTTTTGGAGATAATGATTTAATGATACAATTCTTACTAGTTAACCCATAGGTGGGAGGAGAAAAGGTGAAATCATATATTTCCCAAGTTTATTTATGCAAAAGTGAATATAACGAACCCGATGGAATTGAAACTCAGCTCTCGAATTTACAATTCTGAGCCATTATCCATTACACCTTATCCATGCTTACAGGACCTAATATTACCAAGCGATCAGCCATCTAAGCACTGACCAGGTTTGACATTACTTAACTTCGGTGATCGTACGAGATCAGGTGTTTTAAAGGTGATATGGCCACAAGCATGGGTGACGTAGATTTATACCTTTCCCAAACATATTTGCGCGTAAGTTAATAAAGGATGTTCCATTAACTTGGACCGATTTTAAATGTGAATTAAGTTTAATCGTCTAATGATTTTTTTCTTTTTCTTTCAGATTTGGCGAACACTTGGGCGATATTATTTTTCACACATAATTGCCATTATTTAAATACCATGATCCAATAGAGAAATAAATAAATTTTCACCAATAACACTGATTTATTTGATCCGTCTCAATGAAACCCGCTTACATGTAATCCGTCTTAATGAAACCCCCTTTGTAACGAACGCTACTGGATTTTGAACTCGGCTTTTCCATTTTCTATTCTGAGCTGCTCTTTACTACATCAGCCACGCATACCTCATGATAGGAGTAATGAAATTCATGAATAAATTTCAAAGCACACAAAGATCAAGTGGAAATATGAACGTCGTTGAGTAGTTGGCTAAACGATGAGAAAGCTGTTATCTGAAACATCTTAATGTTTACATATTTTTTTATTTTAATTAAATACGCTTTTTTATAATGAGTGAAGTAATCACTAGTTGTGTTGAAGATATATCTTGTTTTCTAATTAAATTTCGAGCGTCTATCGAAGCTGTAATCTTATCCGATAACAGAAACTTTTATTTTTTATAGTGAATTGCACAATCGTTACTAGTGACAAACTACATTTATCGCCCATCGTAACTAAATTCTATTTGAGAAGAGAACATCATAATAAAAAAAATCTTATAAATAACGTATCTCTCATTATCAAAATGAGATGAGTTATTGTACCTATTTGGACTATTTACATTGTTCGGACTGTTGTCCTCATCTTTATTGTCATATTCATGATGTTTCGGCCGTTGTATGCTCTGGCCTTCTTCAGGATCTGTCTATATTTCCGAGATGATGGATTGTAACTAGTTGCACTATTTATATTGTTTGGACTGTTGTCCTCATCTCTATTGTCATATTCACGTTGTTTCGTCCGTTGTACGCTCCGGCCTTCTTCAGGATCTGTCTATATTTCGGAGATGATGTATTGTAACTATTTGCACGGTTTACATTGTTCGGACTGTTGTTCTCATCTCTATTGTCATATTCACGATGTTTCAGCCGTTGTACGCTCCGGCATTCTTCAGGTTGGAATTTCGAATCGAAATCTCTATTTCATTCATCATGAGAACGTGTTCTAGTTCCACGTTCCATGTCTTTTCTGTTATTTCCCTTTAATAACTCAACTCTCCAACTTTTCATTCGTCTCTGTTGTGGCCGAGTATTGAACTCAAATCTGGTGCGTCAAGTCACTATATTCGGCAAAGAGTTTTATCTACTGGGTCATGTGACGAAGGCCGGAGCGTGCAACAGTCGAAACGTCGTGAAGATGACAGTAAAGTAGAGAACGGAAATCCGAACAATGTAAATAGTGTAAATAGTATTTCACATTATTAGTAACAAATGTAAAATTTAATTTCGAATTGCTTCGGCTTACATGTCCCGTATGATTACCGAAGTTAAGCAACGTCGAGCCTTGTCAGTACCTAAATGAGTGACCAATTTGGAATATCAAGTGTTGTAACCTTGAAGGTGCTGCGGTGTAATGGATAATGGCTCGTAATTGTTAATGGGAGACCCGAGTTCAAACTCCCATTGAGTTTGTTATATTCACTTACGCGCAAATAAACAAAAGAAATGGTATGAATTCATCTATTCACTCACCAGCTATGGGTTAAATAGTAAGATTTGCATCACTAAATCCTTAAACTAAGTGATAATAATATTTATGATCATATATTAAAGACAAATATATGGCTATATTTATATTATTCATGTAAAAGACAAACTCTATTTTAGAACGGAATAAATTATTTTTTTTTATTTTTATACATATTATGTTTTTAAACATATTATAATTCTGTTTGTTAGTTAGTTAGCACGACTGTTACGCCTCGCCAATACCTCATGAAACGTCTTTATCCATTTTAATTGAGAGGAAAGATGGAAAATATATATCAGAGATACTGTTTGATTTCAGCGAGAAAGAAAGAAAAAAAAAAGCAAAGATAAAGAGAGCCATAACACCCTTATGTATTAAACGTCTGCTTCAATGAAATAGGAAAACATGTCAGTTTTAAATCTTTTCCTTTGTATGAGCTGACGTAATCATTAACTTAAAATAGGAAAATCGTGAAATGTTCACGGGTATTTCTACTTATTTATAAGTAGTCATATTCCTAAATTAAATGACGTCACTTTCATTTATTTGCGCATGCGCATATAACTTCGTTTCCTCAAGCGAACACTATTTCCACCTTTAATCGACTCGCCTGTATAGATTGTATTCATGAATATCGATACAAAATAAGAGGGGGTTATTATTTATATAGTTCTTTAAATATAACAGACGGCGTAAGATTGAAACTTTATATGATCGTTCATAATTTCAAATTGCTTGTTCTGTACGACGGTTATATTTTCTACGTTAGATCAATCTGCGGGTAATATGTGGGAGAGCTACTCGGAATGAGAAATCAAAGAACAGAGTTCGAATTCTAATCAGATTAGCTACAACCAATTTAGCCCAAGTAATCATTAAAAGGCAATGTGCTCTAATGCCAGATAAAGTGGTTTGTGATATTTGCAATTCGAGTTGTCAGTGATAGCTGCAGTCTCTTAACAAAGTGGCCATCAGTTCAAATATTTGCAATAGCACAAAAATATCTAAGCCTTTTTCTTTATGCGAATAAAGAAAAGACATGGATATCTATCGAGAAGGTATCTCTACCAGCAAAATAACCATATTTAATATGTTATTGTCTTCTTTAATATGAATAATGTAAAGATATAGATTTCTACCGAGCTAGTATATCTATCATCAAAATGATCATCTTTAATATGCCATTAAATAATGAAATAATATAGATATCTAACCGAGGAGGTATCTGCACCTTGAAAATGATCACTTGCATTATTTACATTATTCGGACTGTAATCATCATCTTCATCGCCATATTCACAACGTTTCGGCCGTTGAACCTTTCGGACTTCTTCAGGTGGTTGGAATTTCGAAACGAACCCTTTATTTCGTCCACCGGGGGAGATTGCACTAGTTCCACGTGCCATGCCTCTTCCTGATGTCTCAGTTATTTTCCTTTAACTCAGCTTTCCAAGTTTGGTTCACTACTACTGTGACCAGGTATTGGACTCACAACTCTTTGGGTCTAGTCACTGGATCTAAACAACATCTTCATCCAATGAAATTCCAATCACCTGAAGAGGGCCGGAGCGTACAACGGCCGAAACGTTGTGAATATGGCAATGAAGATGAGGATAGCAGTCCGAATAATGTAAATAATGCAAGTAATCATAATACCTTATCTCAGAGATATAGACAGATATTGAAAATGATCATCTTTGACATGCCCTTGCCCTCTTTAATATGAATAATGAAATGGTATTGATAACTACGGAAGATCTCTACTGTTAAAATGATCATCATTAATAAGTCATTGTCTTTTTTAATATCATTAATGAAATAATATGGTTACCTATCCAGGATATATCCATACCGTCATAATTGTTTTGAACATAACGATATAAAACAAAATGAAACAGACGAGAACTTGAAATTTTATCAAATATTTATTCCATAAAATAGGACAAGAAATTGTTGTAGTTTGGGTTTAGAAAAGTTCCGCCTTTCGTTAACAGCATAATTCGAGTACAAATGTCTACATTTTTTTTTAAAAATGAAAGACCCACTTGCTGAACCCCTGGAGATGAGCACTTATCTTTAGGGCCTGTGACCTGCACTAAATTCAAACGAAAAAATAAAGAGAAAGTTTCATTAAAACAAAACATAGAATCATGTAACTTTGACCTTTATCACTCTGTGGCTTCATTTCCTGTACAAAAGCTTTATCCTGCCACGTTGTGCTTGAATTTCATAATTGTGTTGTCATATGGCAACAGAAAAATGTTTGAGTGAAATTGACAATAATGATACTGCAATTGAGAGACTTTCAAAAGGAAAGCAGCGGAAATGGGAGTAATATTAATAATGCAGTGTGCTAAAGTTTAAAGTCACCAGTCGGCTAATGCTACTAACTTTATCCGCTACAGCCAATCGTCTGTGTCTCCGACTGGAAATGAGGTATATGTGTGCTACAGTAATAAATTACTTAATTGATGTTTTATTGATGAATTGTCAAAAGTATCTACATTTTCGGGAACACCCTGAGCATGTTTCTATTGCAATGTTATCTGTGTTCATACAATGTTCATACGATATTTATACGATGTTCATACGATGTTTTTACGATATTCATACGATGTTTATACGATATTCATACGATATTCATACGATGTCTATACGGTGTTTATATGATATTCATACGATGTTTATACGATATTCGTAGGATGTTTTTACGATATTCATACGATGTTTATATGATATTCATACGATGTTTTTATGATATTCATACGATATTCATACGATGTTTATACATTATTCAGTGTATCTCTCGATATGCATTTAGTTGTTTTTCCTATCTCAAAATTATTGTACATTGTCTTCTTTAATCGGAATCATAAAACTTTGAAGTATTTAATAGACATTGTATTAATAGACCTTCAAAGTTTGTATACATTTTCTGTGATATACTGCACATGTAGTTATTAGAAAGTAATTTGAGTTCATACAATATACAATAGTTTTCTTGATGCATCTTTTATCGTTTTTCATGACTGAAAATGATTCTACATTTGTCTTCTTTAAATTTAATCATACAGTATAGACTTGAATCAATGAATATTGTATTAATAAACATTCAAACTCTGTAGACATTTTATGTTTATTCGGTAAGAATAAAATGATGCATTTGGATAAAGCTATTTCACTGAATTGGAACATAATGTCTTTCATTCGTTTAGTATATGCATTTGCAGGTGTGTTCGTTGGAGACTGAGTGACTGTAAACCTCTTCAAAATCT